CATGTCCATGAATTGGATAAACAAATGCTTAAGAACCAAGCCAAGTATCTACCCTTCTATCATCAATAAAAAGAAATATTACTAATTCCAAATAGAATCTAAAATACAGTTGTTCTGCCACCACAAAAGCAATTGAGAAATTTCTGAGAATGGAAAATACTTCATTCGTAGTTGTTCATTACCGTAATGATCATTTCAGAAGAGACATAGAAAATACTAAAATAAGAGGGACATAAGATCAGTTAGGTGTGGCACTCATCAGTTTGCTTGAGCAGAATTTTGGTACATACTTTTTCTGGTGGTGCTGTTTCTGTCTATTGCAAGTGGTTTAAAAAAAAAAATCAGCTCCCCAATTTTTCCACTGTTGCTGAGAGTTTTAGGTTCCTTTCATATGTTTGATGAATTTTCAGGAGGAAAAGGAAATGCCAAAACATGGTGAGGGAGCACTACAATTGTCTAAGAAATTGTACGTACAATGCTTTGCCACTAATTAAACCCCATGAAAATTCCAAAGGAACCATCCTGTAACAAATTCTTATGAATTACAATCGTAGAGCAACAAGAAAAGGTCACACAATAGTTTACATAATTGTGCAAATAACGTGGCAGTGTCAGATATATAGTTTAACTGGCATTAGCTTCATAAATTTAAAATGTTTTAAGGAATTGAATGATCGAATATTCTTCCACAAGTATTTCTCCATATTGAAAGACTTCACTACGACATGTATTGTTTAATCATTTCCTCCCAAAAAATTGGTATCAAAACCTTCTCTCAGACAGTCAAATTTGAAAATAAGTTTTCTGAGAAGTGTGCCTAAGAGATCTGAATGCTAAACTCTCTCAAAGGAAACTCACCTAAGTTCATTCATAAATTCACTGAGGAACATCAGTTTATTAAAAATACCTTTTATTGATGATGCCATAGTGAAACATGGGTCTTCCAACTTTTGTATCTTCAATATACTATAGAAACAAAGAAGACATCATGACAGAAGTGAGCAAAAGTTCACTAAATGAACTGATATAATTGTCTTGGCATTTGAAATTGAAACCTACCAGTTGTAAGGTGACCAACATTGATGAAAATGCCAAAGAATCAAAAAGAATATCATTAAGAGCAAAAAGCTGGCTTTCTGAAGATTCTGGGACTGGCGAAAAGTGAGGTCTCTACAACTTGGCCAAGAAAATAATATATGTCTGTTCCACATGAGACAATGGAGTACATGAAGATGCCAAGAGTAGGGAAATCAATGTAAAATTAGTGTTAGGATATTTCTCATACTTGGCCTATAAGAGGGATGTCCAAATGAGCAAATGGTGATAAAACTTCCACGTCTGCATTTGCCTCCTTCCAGGTTTCCCTAATTGCTCCTTCAGC